TAAAAATGCCATAGTTGACTATGGGACAGAGTATGACATTAAGTTGCCATATTACCATATTAATTTATGCAAAATTTCAGTGCTGTGTTTGCCAAACTACTATTGATGTTATATACCGCTACCCGAACCAGTACCCCGATCATATCCAATTTAAATAGCGTTCTGGCACTTTAAATAACAAATCATTTGTGAAATTTTGGTGAACTTAGCAGAATTATTTTTTGAGTTATCATTGGGATGGACGGATGAACGGACGGACGGACAGACTGACAAAGCTAAATCGACTCAGAATTCAATGCTGATCAAAAACATACACTTGAATCTATATCTGAGACCATTATTTCTTAGCGTTACAAACGGTAAGGCAAATTTAGGAAGAAGCAAAAAAATATATAGAGTGTGATTCAGGAAGGTTTGCAACAATATATACTTTTTTGGAATGAAAATTATAAAAATTAATTAATTAATTAATTAAATATTCTCAAAATGCGTGTAAGCCTCCAGAAACCGTTGTGATTTGGCACACACTCCACAACGGAAGATTTATTTTTCTTTGATCCTCTAACCGATTTTAACTTTCTGAATCATCTTGTATACACAGTAAAAAAATAAAAATAAAATATATACCTACAATTAATTTATTAAATAAACATAAAAATTTAGTATATAAATTTTTATTTATTTATATACTGAATGTAAATAAAATTTTAATTAAACATTTTTATGTGACCAGTTATTTTCAGTCTATTGATTTAATTTTGTATTTTTGATTCTGACAATTGAAAAAATCCACGCAGACATAAAAGTAAATAACAATTTTGTGGTAATTTGCAAATAAAACGGATGAACTCGTACACAAATATTATATATACATGTTATATATACGTATATAGGGAGAAAAGTCTATATTAATGTCTACGAAAGACAATAATTTAATAAAAGGACCCAAAAATCTAAAGAGAAACGAATTTTATTTTTCAATTTTAATCAACAAAACAATTTTATACAAATTATTGTATAACAAAATTATATTATAATCTATCTAATAATCTAGGATATTAATGATTATGCATAAGTATATCAAATTTTAGTGAAAATTTGGAAATTTTTAGGTATTATTTCAATTGAAAAATAGTCAAAATATTGTTTTAATTAAGTAATAGTTTAGGATAGTGATCAATTTGTGCGAAAATTATGTAAGGGAATGGTGGGTATAATGGCAAAGATTTTGTTGGTGCGGAATGGATCGAATAAACAATGTGTGACAATTTTTATTTATGGTACTTATGAGATTTTCCTTTTTGTGATATTTTATTGAATTTGTTTCATAATTAGGAGGAAAATGTAAGTAATTTTTTTTGGAATTCCAATTTCATTACACGAGTTCTTGTTCAACAAGATATTAAATAAACATAAAGGAATCGCCTGCTGTCTGAACATGTATATATATTCCCTATTCTTCCAATCTTACGAAATTCTCTAAAATGAAAAAAAAACACTGAACATCTTTCAAAATCTTTTTTTGTTTTCTAATTTTCCGTTCCAAGGACGGCCGCCATTGTAATTAGACAAAATTGACCAATGAGTTCTAATAGCCGCCATACAATTTAAAGAAATCATTTTGAGTATTTCGAAACTTATATTAAGGATATTAACAATGAATTTTTTTGTGAAAGTGTTCCTAATTACAACATACTTAAATATCCTCAAAGGTGTAATAAAATGGCTGTATACTGGTTCGAATATCTAGTCTAAAACATACAACTCTAAAAGTAAATTTTATATAATTCAAAAACTAATTTTTATAATCAGATTGTCAAGGTGGTAGGGTATAATTAAATCAGTTACCATTCACTCAAAATTTATTTATTTGTTTTGATTTCAAAAAGCATAGTTTCTATATTTTCCACCATTTATATTCTAGTATATTAGTGTTCGGGCTTCGCTATTATTATATTTTATTGAAATTAAATACAAAAAATTTATTGTATAACAAAAGTAAAATAAAGTTAAAATAATAATAAAATCTTTTATTTTACTTATAATAGGATTTTTACTGTAAAATAACATTTTATGCTGCTAATATTGTAAATTCCAATTTGTTAGATAAAATAACTATATAATAAATTTAAATAGACAAGGTATACATGCATACAAACTTATACCTACAATAAAACAATTATTGTTGTTATTGCTGACAAAAGAATTTATGCAAATAATATTGCACATATTTACATTTATATTACAAATTTTAAAATTATGCGATATAAATGCTTGTACATACATATATAAATAGAGGTAAATAAAAAAAGTCGCGACAATTCAATTATAAATCATAAAACGGTTCATCCTTTTTTACGGGATTTTCTTTTATATCACTGTTTTTTTTTGTTTTTTTGTTTTTACTGTTGTTCTATTCTGATGCTGTTTTTTTTTGCCCTTTATGTTACTGCATTTGGGAAATTAAAATAATAATAATAGAAAAATTGTTATATGTGTATGCATATGTTGTCTTTATCGTATATACCAAAAAAAAAAAACTGTCATGAATAAATATTTAAATTCAATTTCAAATTTCAACTAAATTGCTGTATATATGTGCATATATATATAATGAAATAGTTTGTATACTTATACATGTATTTTTCAGTTCTAATTTTAATAAATTACTACATTTAATATTTATATATTATATATGTATTTAAAATATGAATACACTTATGTTCAGATACTAATATTTTATATATCATGATATCTATGCCTATATATACTTGCTATATATATATGATTGAGGATGATCAAATTAAAATGAAAATGTCAAAAACATAATTGTACATAAATTCAAATTCAACATAACATACTTAAATACATGTATAAATGTAAATAAATTTGTAAATATTCTAAGGGTATAATAAAGTTTAATTGAAATTTATTTAGACATCAAATTATCATATAAATTTGATTAATGTATACATACAATGTGACAAACACATTTATATTAATAAAAAAAATATACACAATATATTTAATATAATAGTATAATTTTAGAAAAGGGGGGCGGGGAAGGACATAAATACAGATTCCATATATATGTACACGTATGTGTAAAAATTGAATAATAAATTTTTTAAAATGGCAAAAATGACTAATTTTTACAAAATTGACTTTATAACCTTTAAGTATATATATATGAATATGAAAATTGTGTACAGACACCTAAATAATTTTTTGAATTCTCATGAAAAAATTTTGAATATTCTTCGAAAGAAATTTTATTAAAATTTTTTCTTTAGAATTTATAAAATATATTATTTCTAGAAATTTATGAATTTATTTTAAATTAAAATAAAATGTCGCTTGAAATGAATTTACAAAAGAACTGTACGTATATTTAAATAGAAAAATTTTGAAAAGGAAGCCATTGCCTAATGTTTTACCAAGAAACATTAATTTTCTTATTTTTCATAATATATGGGTAGAAAAATTACATAAGAAATTTCTGACCTCAAATAGATTTCACCTAATATATTTCATAATAAATTCATTGTACTCTCTCTCTGTAAAATTGTACTCTCTCTCGGTAAAATTTACAATTATTACTACCTTTCTTTCCGTTATATCATAACAAATTCTTATAATTAAATTGTCCTTCAAATTCTTAATATAATTATTTTTATCTAACTTAATAAAGTTATTTTAAAATTAACCATAAACAGATATCGTAAATTGTTCTCATGGAAACTGTTATAATGTCTAAAATGCAAAAAAAAAAATTTGTGTTATCCTTTATAAAGAAGTTAAGTCGAAAAATATAGCATAGTGTGTAATATTGTAATAAAAATTTTATTTATTTCTGTATATACAGTCAGATTCGGATATAAGAAACCCATATAAAAGATATATGAAACCCAAAATTTCTTCATCAACCGTACACATGGTTTTATATGATGTTTTCACTTTTTCACTCGGAATTTGTTGTCATACTACGTTCATCAGTAGAAAACTCATTTAGAATCAAAAATTTCTTCTTTTAACTGAATTCGTTTTAAAAAAAAAAAAATTTGGATAAGCAACGAAAATAATGTCTGACTGTATTTACAAAATGTTACTGATATATCCAAACATAATGACGTATATAGTATTGCAGATGTTAAGAAAACTTGCTTACAGGGTAATGTCAAAACCAGAGAAAATTTTTATTTAAATTTTCATATTCATGCTTTATTTCTATGTTGTAATGGTATGTATGTATATAATGTATATACATATTTATATTCACTTATAAAATATTATGTAATATGATTATAAATGAATTTGAAATTTATTATCGTATAGAGTAAAGAAAAACAAAAATTAACTTTGACATTAAATTTTTCGAATGATAGAAAACATAAAGTTTCTGTTCCTATTCCTATACACATACATTACCAGAATAGATTTTAAAATTTTTGTATTAATATTTTATATTGACAACACATTTTCTACTCTTGATGAACCAAAATTAAATGACAATCATAAATCTTAAAATCCTCCATAAAGTGTAAACTTTTTGAATAAATAATTATTATGAGGTTTTCTGTGACAAATTTCCATTGCAAAGGATAATAAAAATAAATTTTAATAATGGTGAAAATATCCTTAAAATAATATTATGTAGATGATATTGTAAGATAGTTATGCTGTGCAACGTAAGAAAGTTAAGGAATATTTTTGTCATACCTTAACTTTTCACATGAACGAACGTTTCTTTTTTGTGAGAAAATTGTATATAAGTATTTTTGAGGTCTGCAATAAATTTTATTTATACAATAGTAAAATTGCTTACTTTTCAACTTAAGATAAGGCAAGCCTTTTTGAATGTATTTGAATAAAATTCAATAAAAGTTTAAACTAATTGCTTACTGATAAAATTTTTAACAAGAAAATTTTACAAGAAAATTAAAATATAAATTTATATTAATATGTTACTTATTTTTTTTTCTTTTTACCGTAAATCATAGATGCCGCACCTGGTTGTCCAGCTCCAGCTATTCGATTCACCCGTCCTCGTGTATTAGAATCAACAACTGAAGTTGTTTCACAGCCCGAGACTACACAAAACACCTCACCAAATGATCTTTCAACACCCGATGAAGATGAAACTGTTGAAAAAATTGACATAGATTTATCTAATGTCGGTACGGCATCAGATAAAGGTTCATCTGCTGTTAGTGAAAAATATATTGGTACAAATCCATATAAATCTGATGAGCCACCTGGTGGTGGATTATCTCCAACAGGTTTACATGGACCGTATCATGGTGACGATGAAGAAGAGCACTCTAAATCCGAATCAACATTATCGACGGCAAGAGAAGATCGCCAGAGAAAAGAACGTCGTTCAAAAGGTAGACGACGTCGTATTGAAAATGAAAATAGTAGACAAATGAGAGGTTCTAGACATGTATTAAGTAAACGTGATACAATTGATGCTGAAGAAAAATTAAATAACAATAACAATAATAACAACAATAATAATAGTAATAGTACCAGCAGTAACAATATAAATAACGATGATGAATATAATGGTAACGGTAGCTACGAATTAGAAAAACAACTTGTACCAGCAACTGGAGAAGTCTATTATGTTGAAATTTCTGATTTATTAAATGATAAAGCATTATTAACTGAAAAAGTTCGTAAAAAATTGCATAAATTAACTAAAAATGAAAGACATGGTTATATTGACAGCAATGCAGACATTATCAAACAAAAAAATTATAAAAATAGACAATTGGAACAGGAACAGCAACAACAAGAACAGCAACAACAAATTATTGGTATAGAAAAAATGCCATTATCATTTGGAACATTAAATGCTGGTGTTGATACATCACTTATTTTAGCTGCTACAGCTGCAGTTACAAATGATGATGATGTACAATATAAAATAATTTCAGAACAAGAAGCTGCTGTTGAATTTGCTGAAGAGGAGCCACAAGATAAATATAGTAACTATTATAATAAACATAATAAACATGAACACCATCATGGTAAAAAACATAAGAAAAAATCAAAAGATAAAATACACCTAAGGGAAATGAATGAATTTCATTCAGGTAAAAAGGATATTTATATTAATCCTGCAGATGCTGAAATTGTTGTGGTTGAAAAATACAATAGTAATATAAATGAAACAAATAATAATGGTAACATTGGTGGTGGTAGTAGCAGCGTTGTTGGTAAATTGATGACGGTTGAAAATGAAAACGATGTAAATGTTGTTAATCAAACAACAACATCAGAAGGTAATATTAATGGTGACACAATGAATGGTAGTAATATTGATGGTAATGGTAAAATGGTAAATAGTATTAATAGTAATGATAATGGTGTTGGTAGTGGTGGACAACATGATGAAGGAATTTTATATGGAAATTTAACAGATGAACAGCAACAAGAAATCTTACAAAGAGTAAAAAGAAAATCTGGTAAAACAACTGGTGCTTTAAGTAGGCCGAAAGGTGGTGGTGATTCAGGATCTAAGAGTACTAGTCGTAAGGGTGATAAAGGTAAGTTTTTATAATATTACAAAATATATAAAGTATATTTTGAATTTTTTGCTGCATATTTTATTTTCTTCCTTTTGTTACCTTAAGGATTTTGAAATGAAAAACCTTTTATTTCTAAAGCGAAAGAATAAGAAAATGAAATGATTCTGTAAATATGGTTTTTTGATTTGAAATTTTTATTTTGTTTTTTTTATGAAAAATTTGAATGGTTTTCATTTAAGAAACAAATAACCACAGAAAATTGAAATGAATTTTAGACGAAATGAATATTTTTTCTATTCAAAATGAAATCATTTTTATCATGAATTTAAATAGAAAATGTCAAGGTTCTTTTGTTATTTTAAAAATAATAAGGATATATATAACTATTAAAAAGGAAGATGTCTGACCTTTTAATTAAACTTGATATTATGATTGCAGCATCTGTTTATATATAGAATGTATACACGATTATAATTGAAAATATAGTAAAGGAAAAGTTAAACTTGGAAATTTATATGGTAATGACTTTTGAAGAATTCTTTTTCATTTAAATATAAAATAGTAATTGATGTTTGTACAAGTGTAAGCTTTGAAAAGTTATCAAGATGATAATTAACGAGTTTGAAAAGTTTTTTTTTCATATAACAGCGATATAAGTATCTTTATATAAAGTTATGTTTAAATAGACAAGGAACAGTTAACATATAGAAGTTTATTATATAGAAATTTTCAACTTGGTTTCCTTTATCTTCATATTAGACGGTTTTTTGAATTCATGAACAAGTTTAAATGAAAATAATAATGTCATTTATTTGCGAGAGTTCATTAATTTTTTCTATCGTTTGTTAAACTAATTCAACTATGGAACTGGAAATTCTTTGTTTTTGGATTTAATTTTGGTTATTTTAAATGAATAAGACCGTGAAGTATCAAGAATAATAACATATTTATTATTCAATGTTGGTTTTGAAAATTTATGAGTAATTTTGATAATGAAATTTTATAGCCGCTTCTTTTATTTTGATGGTCACAATTATACAAGAGAAAATATTATAAGTTACTTAAAATCGCTAAGTTTTAAATGAATAGGGTTCTAGTATTATCTATTTTAATTCATTTATGAAAGGTTAGTTCTGTTGACACCCTCTTAGAGTAAGTTTTTCGATTTTAACGTTTAATTTTAATATCTTTCAGAAGTTCAAGTAATCTGAAATGTTCACTAGTCTCCTAAATATTGAGTAATATGTATATTTAAAAAAAAAATTTATATACATATAAATACACTTCATACTTGATTCATTTTAAGAGATTTGATTTGTATACAACTAATTTCGTATACCCAATATACCCAAGTAAGCATTTCATACTTTTTATATGGAATTCTAGAAGAAATATGATTGAACGCAGAAAGTAATTCTAATAAAGTTGGGTCAAAGCAATGGTTTGTAATGTAGCGCTTTTTCTTTCAACAAGTGAGAATTATGTTTTTAATAAAGTTGGGTCAAACCAATGGTTTGAATTGTAGCACTTTTCCCTTCAACAAGTGAAAATTCTGCTTTTAAATACAGTCTATGGATATCTACCACACTATTAAAATTATTTTCATTCATATATAAAACTATTTCTAGGATTGCCTATATTTAGGATGACGCATATATGCAGTCTTTGAAATAAAGCAAAAATTAATATAAAAAGGGGTTAACATAATGCTCGATTTTAAGGGTTAATTTTGTGAGTTAAGAAAAATAATTATATTTTTTAGTTTCATGGAATTTACTGTTAGCTTTTTGCGTTTATAAAAATTTGAAAAAACTTGCGGTTTCGGAAATATAAGATGTCAAAAATTCAAATTTTACAAATTTCAAGAGGCGATAACTAGAGAGGGGGTGGAGATGGAAAAAAATTTTCTTCTAACGAAATGAACTATTTGTTAATGCTCCTGAAATTTCGAAGTTCTACATTATGGGGTCTAGAAGAAAAACGAGGTCAAAAATTTGGAAAAAAAGAACTTTAGATAACAGTAAATTTGAACGGCCATTTTGTTTTTCTAAAGTTTAACTATAGTATACCGCGCTAGGGGAAGCAAGTCGCTACCTTTCTGCGTTTGAAAAATTTCAAAAATGCTTATGGTTTCATTGCAACAAATATTTAAAAAAGGCCATTTTTAGGGTTTTGGGGGGGGGTATAACTTCTAGAGGGGGGGAGATAGGTAAAAATTTTGTTCTACGGAAATAAGTTTCTAGTAAAGATCTATGTACGTATGAAATTTCAGCTTTCTATCTTCAAGGGTGTAGAACTTTTGTAAACAAAAAAAGTGTCCACGGACGGACGGACGGACGGACAGAGTAAAACTAATAAGCACTTTTTTCAAAAATTTTTTTGGAAAAGTGCTAAAAACATAATCTAGCTACTGCACTACAGATTTTAATAATGCACTACATTATAAAAATTGCATACGTTTAGGATGATCAATGTAATGCAGTCTTTTATATAGAACAAAAAAAAATTCAAAGAGGCGATATTCAAAGAACACGAATTTAATATTTTTACAAAATTGTCTCACCTAGTCTTGTAAAATTTTGACGAAACTGCTCCTATTTATTATTCTTGACTTTGAATCTTTTTGAAATTATCAATACTATTCCAATTTTTTTTTAATTTCGGTTTAAATTCTGCCCGTTTCGCAACAAATTCGTTCTCTCAAATTGATTTCATGTTATCCAAAACTGAAATTTTTAAAAACATTTAAAATCCTCTGTATTAACCTAAAATAATTCCACATTTTTTGGGAATTCGTGTACGTTTGTACGTTTCATTTCACAATTAACAAATTCATCAAAATAGTTCGAATTTCTTTTATAATTTTCACTTCTTCCTTATTTCTTGCATAAGTTGATTGTTATTAAGCTAATTTCCTTCAAATTTCTCACGTTACTTAATTCATTTTCAAAAAATTTTGTTATTAATTTTGTAATTTTAATTGAATTCTAATTCTTTCTACATTTTTCTATTCATAATGTTACTCTGATTGAAAAAAAAATTTTGACAATATTTTGATTTCGAATTGATAGCAATTTTTAATTTTCATGAAATATGAAAAAAAGTTTTAATGCTCGTAAATATTTATAAATTAAAATTTTTTTGAATATACATTGTATGTATGTATGTATACTAAAATTTGATGGTTTATATTCGAAATTTGTTCATATTAAATTTGGGAGTAGAGAAGTAGTAGAATTTATGTGACCAAAATTTATGAAGTTCCAAATGAAAAATTTGGAAGTAGTAGAGAAAGTTGTGTGAGGAGCGAACTGGTTATCAAATTAGATTAAGGTTTTAAAAAAATTTTTCCGATTTTGATTTTTTGAATTGAAATTTAATCGCGAGGGTTGAGACTAGTGGCTTGTCATCTGGATCCTTTAAAATTTTGAAATTTTTTGTTTTTATGTGATTTAATTTATTCAGATAGAGAAAAAGAATTTGTATTAGAAAGAATACAGAATTAAACTGAAGGAATAAATTCTAATTTTGTTCAGAATTACCAAATTAATGAATGCTATAACAACTTTGAATGAAGGGAAATTTTAAACAAAAAAAAGTTCAATCAAAAAATCAGAATTTTTCCAAGTTTTCAACTAGAGTGTTGTTTTCTGGACGAAATTTTATCAAAAGTGGGCCGTTTAAATATAGTATCTACATAGGACGTCTTGAAACTTAACTGCAACCTCTCAAGGAATTAGAAACTTAAGATAAATACCTCACTGGGAATTGGAATTATTTTCAGTTGGTAATTGAATATCTCAATTTTAAATTCATACGAAAAACAAATGTTTCCATACAATTCAAAAATATTCTATTTAATTTGTAAAACTGCAGCAAATTTCAATGGAATTAATTACAAAATGTTGTTTTGCAATTCTGTATTAAGCTTTTCGCAACAGTATTATTAGACACAACCTTAATAAATAATAAATTTAGCAATTTTTATTAGTATGATAGAAATATTTCTGCAGTTTCCACTTACTACCATTAATCAAGTTAATTTTTTTTTTAATATTTTTAATATGTATGTACATTTTATAAAAAATATTTAACGTCCGAAAATTTAATTTTAAATCTTCCTTCATCATTATAGTTCGGTATTCTGATTTTTAATTCCCAAAAGTAAAATCATTGCTAGGAAAACAGAAGTCCCTTGTATATTTCTTCGAAACCTTGCAGAAATACATTGAAAGTATGTTGAGTTATAAACTGAAATCGCAAATAGACTTACGAAATAAACTCATTGCGTCAGATAGGGACGCATCTGGTACATTTTCACATAAAAGTGATTCCTATTTATTTTCTTAAAGAGCATTCATTCCTGTTCGCCTATGTCGGTTATACGAAATAAATATATCAATTTGGGTGTCAACACAAAGGTTCTATAATTCTATTAGTGTTTGCGTTATCGCTCTGAGAGACAGACAGACTCAACATTACAAATGGATTATTAAATTATTCAGTGTATTTGTTTCATAAAAATTGCCATAAATGCTATAAAACGTAATTATGTAGAATACCAGGTCAATGAAATATTTTGATTCATTAATCTCACAGATCTATAAAAAAATAAGCTTAAAATTACGAGTATAATAAATAATTTATTTTTATAAAAATGTCAAATGCCAGGGCAGATTTATTTAAGAATTAGGGATGTTCTTTTTTTATTGGTAACTTTTATTTAAATTTTTACAATAAAAATGAAAAATTTATGATTATTATGTTTATTATGTTTTATGATAATCTGTTATATACGCACGATTAAATGAATTCATTCATTAAATTATTTTTTAAACTAGTAAAAAGATAAAATTTTGAAAAGGGCAGGAAAAATCAAATTTTTCAGATAAAAGAAGTCTTTTTACTATATTTTGACTTGTTAATGTGAAAAGTCTTTACTAAGATTGAGGCAGTCGAAGTTAAACAACTGGAATTTGTAAACCTTAGAGTAATTGTATTATTGCTAAAAGTATTCA